GAGAGGGAGGGCGGGGAGGCTGTATCCGCGCCCAGGGAGGTCCTCCCCTCCCCCCGCCCCTCGGCGCTTCTCCGGGCCGAGGCGCGTGCAATGGGGACTTGGGGGCAGCGGGGGGGGGCTCCATCTCGCCCCGATTCGGCCGGAGGGACAGCCCGCCGCGCCGAGAGGCTCCTTCTCCCCACGGGCCCGGACGAAGGAAGGCAAGGCTCCCCGCGGCCGCGCTCCCTCGGGCCGGGGCCGGCACGGCGCGCCGGAGGAAACTGGGAAGGAAACTGGGAAGCGCCTCCGTGGCTCCCACTGGAGCTCGGAAGGCCACAAAGGGAAGGAGGGGGTTGTTGTGCAAAGCTCACAAATCAGCCGCCGAGAGGCTCCTTCTCCCCACGGGCCCGGACGAAGGAAGGCAAGGCTCCCCGCGGCCGCGCTCCCTCGGGCCGGGGCCGGCACGGCGCGCCGGAGGAAACTGGGAAGGAAACTGGGAAGCGCCTCCGTGGCTCCCACTGGAGCTCGGAAGGCCACAAAGGGAAGGAGGGGGTTGTTGTGCAAAGCTCACAAATCAGCGTGGGCCTCACCCGGCCAATCTGTCAGAAATAGGCAAGCTTCCGTGTTCTGCAGGGCGCTTCGTCAGGGCCTGAGGGAGCCTCCTGCGGGATTCGAAAGCTCGCCTGCTTTTGATGTTTTAGCCAGCCTGGGTGGCCTTGGGCGAGTTGCACTGTGGTCCGGGAGCGCCCCTCTTCTCTGAGTGCCCGGGAGCCCCCGCCAGAAGTGATTTGAAGGCCCATGATTATTAGCTGGCTGGATAACTCAGTGGTTTAGGTCTGCGGGGCCAAAGGCTGGGAGTTCGAGTCCCCCACCGGGGCCTCCCGCGAGGAGGGCCAGCCTGGGTGGCCTTGGGCTTGCTTCACAGTCCCAGGGATCCCTTCCCAGAAGAAGGGAAAGGGAAACCACTTCCAAGTACTACCTGGAAATCCCCGCAAAGGGTCGCCACGTGATGGTGATGATGAGAGGATTACCCTCCCTCCCTTCCGGATCTTGGGAGGGCTTCTCCGCCCCGTCGCCTGAGCCCCCTGCCCGCCCCTCTCCAAGCGGATTT